TATGAAACGAGACGAGTGACTTCTATATCATTTCCACTGACAAACTCAGTCAAAAAGAGCTAGAAGCGCTGAGTCTCATAAATATATGTTTGTGTAAGTAACATGATTTTTGAGTTATAATCAGCAGATAATAAAGATGACCCTCGAAGAACAAGGTGAAGTTTTGCCGTGTCAGATAAAGAATTAAAATCCAACAGGTGACCGATTTCTTTTGCTAAGTTACCAAGATAGTTCGTTCTGTGTTGAATAAATATGGGACATTCAAACATAAAATGAAAGATGGTTTCGGATTGGCACCCACAGACGCATGATGGACTTGAAACCAAGCCACGTTTAAAAAGACTGTAGTTAAGGCTGTAGGTATCAATGCGAAAACGAGCAAGGAGGGCGCAGGTGTATCGGGGACCATAAGAGAAGTGCAAGGGGCGATTTGGGCATATTGTTTTAATAAGATACCTTCGAAAGAGTGAATACTTTAAATTGCGGACCTTGGAATCTAATGCATTCCAATGACTTACACAATAAGGGACAAAAGATTTACCAAATCTATAACTAGAATGTTTTAAAAGTCTAAAATTTGTTTTGTTTCTTAAATTGTAAGATGTTGTGTAAGATATTTCAGGGGGGAGGAGATCAAGTAAATATTTCCGTGTTAGTCCGTTAACTATCTTATAGAATAACAGTAAACGGTGGATATGTCGTCTATCACTAAGTGTTTCCCACCCCAATTCCTGGCGTACATTTGCATAAGAAGAACCTTTGATTGCCCCAGACACAACAAGTGAACATTCATATTGAAATCTCTCAATGAGGGTAGATTGGTCAGCTGTGCAGCTGTGCCAGATCACGTCGGCATACTCAAGACTGGGCCGAATAAAGGACTTGAAAATGGTTTCTAACACATGGCGAGGAAGTTTAAACTTTAGGCCTCTAAAAACATTAACTTTTTTGGAAACATTGCCGTATACATAATTTAAATGGTTATTCCAGGTCATGTCAAAAGTTAAAATTACACCAATATGTTTATGCGATGTGACTGTTGTAATTTGGGTTGTCCCAAGAAAAAGAGGGGGGGTGTTTAGGGGGGGCTTTTTTCACGGAAAAACACATCTCCTCAGTCATTGATGGATTTAACTCCATCAGCCATGTGTTAGACCAAGTTAAAATTTTAGATAGGTCAGAATTAAGTCTGTATGCAGAAGTAAGTGGATTTTCAATAATTTCAAACAAAGAACTATCGTCTGCAAATAAACATGGTAAGGTTTCCAGATCATTTACAATATCATTAATATATACAATAAAAAGGAGTGGACCCAACACGGAACCTTGGGGGACACCTGCGCCCACCTTCCTCCACGGAGACATTTGACCATCAAGAACAACTCTTTGAAAACGATCAGATAAATAGTTAGATAACCAGTTCAGTAGGGGTCCCTCGATACCATATTGCTGAAGTTTAAAGATCAAGCCGGCGTGCCACACCTTGTCAAATGCTCGAGAGAAATCCAAAAATACAGAGCGCACTTCTTTGCCCTTTTCAAGTGCGTCTAAAATAAGGTTACATATATAGACAAGTTGAGAAACAGTAGAGTCATTTTTAACAAAACCTGACTGAAAGGCGTACAAGAGCTCATTAGTTATAAGATGATTGTAAATATGTTTATACACGATCTTCTCCAAGATTTTCGACAAGGTTGGCAACAGCGACACAGGACGATAATTTGATTTATCTCGGGGATCACCTTTCTTAAAAATAGGAATAACATTAGCTTTTTCCAAATGTTAGGGAAAATACCATGTGACAAAGACAGATTAAATACGTAAGCTAACTTATCCGATATCAAAGGAGTTACAATTTTTAAAAAACGATTGTCAATGTTATCATATCCGTGAGATTTCGAGGTCTCCAGGCAATTAACATACATCTCAATTTCATCAGGGGTAGTGAGAACAGATGCTAATTTTTCATTAGTATAAAATGTAAGATAGGGGAGGGAGGCATTTGAACTATCTATTGTTGACTGTGATATAAAGAAATCATTGAAGATACAAGCTTTTTCATAAGCATCAACAATAGATTGTGCACCATATGAATTGGAAAGTGGGGGAATTGTGCTTTGTGTCTTAGGTTTGTAAAATCTTTTAATGATATGCCACCATTTCTTGGGCGCTGTAGAGGGATTTGAAAGCGACTGGGCCAAAAAAGATTCATAATCACTCTTTGCCTTAGAAATTGTATTAGTTAGTTTGTTCCGAATTTTGCGGTATGAATTCCAGGCTGACGAAGAGTTTGATAGTTTTGCGCTGTTATGAAGCTTATCCCTCACACGCATTAAATTTCTAATATAAGAAGACATCCAAGGTTTGTCTTTAGGTTTGATTAATACACTTTTGTGAGGAATGCAGCGATATTTCGCTTCAAGAATTAGTTCAACAAGTTTAGAGCTGGCATCATCAACTGTTCCACATCCGTATATTTCAAACCATCTGGGATCTGCCAGAGACTCTGAGAGGGAATCATAATTAATATTTTTGTAGTCCCAGATTATTCGAGAATACGGTCTTGGAACAGAGACAAAGAAATTCATATAACCAATAATGGGAGAGTGGTGGCAGCTGGACAGGGGAGACAAGATGAGAGTTTTAGAAAAGAAATTTCGACAGTCAGTAAATGTTAAGTCAATTAATGAAGGGGACTGAGATAAGTCACAGGTAGGTTCGGTAATAATTTGGTGGAGATTTAGAAAATGTGACGCTTGATGGAGCTTCGCGCCAGCGTAGTTAATTGGGTCCAGATGCC